GCCTGCTCCTTTAAGCTTTCACCTAGCTCTTTAATCGCGTTCACTAACATAGCATTAGGCCCCTGGGGTATTTGCGCCATCCGCTCTAATAGCTCCTCAATTGACCAATTACCCGGGAGCGTAACAATGACATTGCGAGCTGTAGAATTACAGTTCTGCAGCGCACACTGCTTTAGCAAAGCACCGTGCATATATTCGGGAACCCCCGCTAACTGGATGGCATTAGCAACCCGATCTATAAACGATCCAAAAGGCTCATCCCTTCCTTGTTTGATTCCCATATATGACGGAATTCCCCCTGGAGCTTTGATCTTATCTAGAGCGAGACGGGCTAGGCGCATAGACTCCCTGATCTTATCCGGCCCTATTAACGTTTGTGCCTCTATTCTGGCGTACGGTCCGAAGCCCATTAATTCATCTAGCGTAACCCCGTGTAAAGGGTCAACTGCCTGTCTCTGAACCGCTACGGCCTCCTGGCAAAGCGCCTGCCAATGCGCACTATGTAGCATTTGCTGATGCTGTGAAAGAACCAACTTCATAATGTTACTAATATCTGCTGGTAAAAGCAAGTTGCTACCCCAAATATAATTTAACATTTGTCGGGTAGGCTCACCCTGGATTCCACTCTCATTAACGGTAGCACGCAATTGCGACAACAGCTTCCAATCAAGGGCAGTGATATTCGCTACCAATCCACCCCCTTGTGCCGGAGCATAAACTACCGGAAAGGCATTAGTTAAAGTTTCTGCCGCTTCTTTATCTCCCGCTTGCAAAGCATCTGCGGCAATGCCTTGCCAGAGCTTTCGCCGCTCTGCCGCGACAGTACTCGATGTATCGGGTGAGGGGAGTGACGCAGCCCCGGTAGACGAGGTCTGCTGGGACTCAGGGGACGGGCTAGGGAACTCTAGGGAAGGGGCAGTGGGAGTAATAAGAGCCTGCTCTTGGGGTTCAGGCGGGATATGTACAACATTAGTTGAGGGAGGCAGCGGGCACGGAGACTCAGCCGCGAAAGGATTGCCGATGTCTCCCAAACGCTGCGCAGCGACTCGAGCAGCCTGCTGCTCGGCCTTATGTTGTTGTAAAGCATTAGAAACAGCCTGCCACTGCTTGGCTAACTTTTTAGCTACTTTATCATCATTCAATAAATCCTCCCACAACTTATCCCCGTACCGTTTCCATTCACCTTCATCAAAGACCGTATTGGGGTCCACAAAACACCCTTTCGCAAACCCCACCTTAAGCAATTCCGGTAAATCCTTTTTTAAATCTAACCCTTTAACTCCCCGCTTTCCTAGAAAGCATTGGAGCAATGATAGTGCCGCCTGTCTCTCCATTACCTAAAAAACGTGTTACCACGCTTTGTGCAGCCCTTTCCACGAGACTTTGCGGCTTTGTCAGCGGGCCTCCTTCTTCAGGAGTCTTCCCGGGCGCCGGGTCCAACTATTTCGTTGCTGGGAACGCGGAACTTAACTCTTTCGCCGTCTGAAATCCCCAAAAGGGAGGCGTCCGGCGGTGGCAAGTTGAGCTCTTTTTCATTCAACCCTTTCGCCTTCTTGTGTTGCACGGCAAGACCGGCCGAAACTCCTATGTCCGACCGCGGCTGCGAGAACCCGACTTGGTTCTCGGGAGTCCGACTTGACTCCAACCCAGGAGATCTGACTTGATCTCCTAGAGACCCCCCCTTGGTCCCGGTACACACAGGCACCAGTAATAACGTCGCGACGGAAAGCTCTAGACACCTCAATATGAGAATCCAGGAACTTCGTTTATTGTAGATTGATAGTAGTTTAATATACACTCTATAATAGGTTCATGAATATTACAGAAATCAGGCTCATTATTGGTACTCGGTTAGGTGGTGATGTCATCTTAACTGCTTTTCATTGTTTACACAGGAGGCTCATTAAGTGCCTTTGTTTTGGTAATGCCTAGCTCCTGTTTCTCAGCTCAATTTAGGATACCCAAGGACACTGCCGCTTTCTCATGGCCCTGCTATCTCTAACTTTCGCATGGGCCTAGGGAAAACTGCATCTTATACTTTAGCAGTAGTCTTATACTTTAGCAACTCATCCATAGCCTTAGCCATGTTCATATGTCCTCTCATTTCTAACCAATCCTCTACAGACAGTTCCCTGGGAACTTCTGCTGCAGGAGTCCTTCCACAGGAGCAGTCCTTAAGGAATCGATCCAGTGGAGGTGCCTGTGGCAATGCAGTTTCCTAGGAAATTACAAAGAAAGGAAAGACAGAACACTGCTCAAATTACTTCAGGATTTGTGTCTTTTCTGTTGAAAGTTGTAAGGCATGAGAAAAGAATGTACAGATGTCATTTTTTAGCTACTCCGGATCGTTATGCAGTACCACTCAGGTGCCACTTAGGGATCTGTGAGGAGGGACTGCTCAGCTCCCAACTCTCCCAGCAGGAGAGTTCCCAGTTGCGGGTGGGAGGGCAGGTGTGTGCGTTCTCTCCAAAGGCAAACTGAACCTGCCCCTTGAACCCGGCTCACAAAGAACTGGCATCCAAACACATTTGCCCCAGGACTGTGGAGCCTGTCCGGCCAAGCCTGCACAGACACGCTCTGAGCCTGACTATTGCCAGGGAGTCATCTTTGTTAGGAAGCAAGCACAGTTTTGACGTGGGCAAACAAGTCCTTTTTAGCTGTTTTCACAGCTCTTTGGTCCACCCAAAAATCATTCCAAAGAAAAACATCTAAGTGTTCCACTGGGGAAACGTGAGCGGCCCAGAGCTGCAGCCATGGGAAGAACGTGGGCGAGTGCGAGAGCTCAACCTGAGGGGAGAAAATGAGAGTCAAGAGCTGCACCAATGGGAGGCAGATGGGAGAGTCCAAGAAGTTGCCCAGTGGGAAGAGGGGAGAATCCCAGAGCTGTGCAGGGGGGAGGATGAGAAAGACCCAGAGCTATCACAAGGAGAAATCAACAGATACCAAGTTTTCCAATGAGCAAGTTTATGAAGACAAGTATTTCCATGCCAAAATGATTCTTGCGTTTCATCCTGTCTTGTTGACTGTAAGGCCTGAGGTAAAAAACCAACCAACCAACCAAACAAAAGAACCCAAAACAACCCACCTCTGGGTACCTCCAGGACAGTTTGTTGTCTTTGAGAGGTTCTTTCTCTATCCTTCTTCTATAGCTTGATCTTCAGTTTCTGCACCAAGAAGAACATTAAACATTGCCTCTTAACGGTTTCCATTCCGAGGGCTGCTTTTCCGGAACTCTCTCTTCTCACCTAAGTGCCTGATGAAGCTGCTCCATTTCTGGAGCCGAAGAAAAGATTGGAGGAGAGCTATCACTTGGAAGAACATCCTTATCTCCACTGAACAGCAAACCAAGAAACGGGAACGTTCTAGGAAACATATGAATCCAACTGAAAGACTCCAAGCACTCTCCATGCAACTCCAGCAGCAGTGAGGTCAGGCAGGAGGTTGGGTTTAAAAGGCTCCCCAGCACAGTCCACCTCAATCTAAGCCATTGTCTTGAACACTGACATCTTGGGATGTTATTTTAGAGCGAGATGGGCAAGCAAATGCCAAGTGGAGCAGTTTCAGCTTGCTTTGTGCCCTGGGAACAGCTGCAATCTTTGCAGCACTAAGTGCTGTGTCATCCCTTGGTTAGGGTGAGGCTGTTGGCTCCTGCAGCGGGCTCTGCTCTCCTGGGGGGCTTCTCTTCACAGGCAGGTTCTAAAAAGGGACTGAAACAGCAGCGTTAGGCCCAGAGCAAGGGAAGCGGCCGGCTGAGCATTTTCAAAAATGCCCTTGGGGTAAAATTGCAGGAGTGATGCCAAGCACGGCCAGGCTGCAAAGCCCCAGCCCTGGGGCGAGCACAAGATCCCCACCCAGTGCTGAGCGACAGCTGGAGCGCGGCAGCTCCCTGTGTGAGGCCGGGGCGAGCCCCGGTCTGGATTTGAAAGGGAGCTGGGGGGTGAGGGCAATGGCTGAGGGTTGAGGGGCGATGGCTGAGGGCCAGGGCACTGAGGGCACTGGCTGAGGGCGAGGGCATGGAGAGCAGTGGCTGAGGGCCAGGGCGCTGAGGGCACTGGCTGAGGGCGAGGGCATGGACAGCAGTGGCTGAGGGAGAGTGTGCTGAGGGCCAGGGCTGATGGTGAGGTCGACGAGTCCCCTCCCCGTGTCTCCCGTCGCCTCTCCGGCGCCACACGCACAGTGCCCTGTGCCGGGGCTTGGTGCCAGTTGCCGGAACGGCGCTGCCGATGGACACCTGCCTGCCATGAGGGAGGTGAGACCCTGGTCCAGGTTGCCCAGAGAAGCTGTGGTTGCCCCATCGTGGGAAGTGTCCAAGGCCAAGTTGGATGGGGTTGAAGCCAGCTGGTGTGGTGGAAGGTGTCTCTGCTCATGTGTTCTGATCTCATTAGGGAGAGATGCCTCAGCCCGAACTAAGGTGTAAAGGAGACCGTTTGCTGACAACAGGCAGATTTTATTTAGTACGGACTTTATTTAACAATAAATGTGAGGTAAAGCGATAGCGAGAGATAACGGATTCTGAAATGGAAAGTACAGTAAATCTTCCTACTCTTACGTCTTGCTTTCTCTGATTCTAATGATCTAAATGAAAGCTCACTCTCTCTACCCTATAAACAAGATAATTTTTATATTATGGAAATATAATTTTACCTATCCTATGTGACTCTATCTTCATAGTAAATCTGAAATAATCTATCTAAATGTTATAGCTAGATATTATGATAATTATTAATCAAATTAATAACTTAACTAGCCTAATTAATTACTAAAATTATGTAATTGACTTCAGCCATCTTTTGTTTTTTTGGCAAGAATCGAGTGTGTTGTCCTCCTGCAGGGGGTTTCTGGGAGCAAGAGGTCCTGTCTTTGCTCATTCCCTGCAGGAGTAGTCAGGCATTGGAATCAATGTCTCAGGTGGGTGGTGGAGTGAGCGTCTGTGTTGGAAGCAGCGAAGAGGTGTCCGGGCCCGCCTGGCGCTGGAGCGGGGCCTAATCCTGGGGCTGTACCGCCATGCAGGAGCGGAACAGCCTGCGCAGAGCCCCGAGTGCCAGCCTGAAGTGGGAGAGACGTTTGGTGGGGACAGCAGCTGCCTGCTGAGAGCCTGAACCTCCAGCTGGGGAGGCGAGGGGCTGGAGGGGCAGCAGGGGCTGCGTGGGGCAGGGACCTGGCTCGTCGAAGGCAGGAGAAGCTTCAGTGCCTCCGGGGGACAGGGCTTCCAGCTGGAGAGGTGAGGTGCAGAGCGGCACTTGTGGGCACGGGGCAGGTGTTCTTGGTAGTTACTGAATTTTCTTGGGGGCTGCCCTTTCATGCTGCATTCTTCCAAGTCGGTCGCTTCCGGGGAGCTACTGCCTTTTCCGTGGCATTGCTCTTCCTCGCTGGAGTCCTCCCAGCTGGACAGTTCTTTGTGCCTCTTGACTTCTTGGGACTGCTCTTCCTCGCTGGAGTCCTCCCAGTCGGACACTTCTTGGTAGCTCTTCACTCCTCCATGGGACAGCTCTTCCTCAATGTTTTCTTCCCAGTCGGACACTTCTTGGTAGCTCTTCACTTCTCCTTGGGGTTCCTCTTCCTCGCTGTATTCTTCCCAGTCAGACAATTCCTGGTAGCTCTTGACTTCTCCAGGGGACAGCTCCTGCTCAATGCAGTCTTCCCCCTGGGACACTTCTTGGTATGTGTTAATGTTTCTTGGGACAACTCTTGGTCTCCCTCATCTTCCCACTGGGAAATGTCTTGGTCAACGTAGTATTTCCAGCCTATGCCCTCCCCAGGGAAGGGCCCCTCGTCAGTGTCTTGCACTGCCAGGACTGAGTCCCCTCCTGCTCCGTCCTCCTGCTCGCTGTTGGCCTGGGCTTTCAACTGGGAAGGTGAGGGGCTGCTGGGGGAGCAGGGGCTCTGCGGGGCAGGGACTGGACTCTCTGTCCTTTCTGCTGGAACGGTTTTTACTGTGTCTGTATCCATGGTTTGTTCCAGGTTTCTCTGTTCCTCCGGCTCCTGGTTGGATGCCTGGATCACAAGTTCAGCCTTCTTCATGATCCCACATGTGATGTATTGCCTTGAGTCCAGCAGGGCCTCGCTGCTCTCTGAGGGGCCGTGTGGGGCAGGGACCGGGCTCTGTGTCCCTGTCGATGGCAACTGCTCTCTGAAGGCTGGAGAACCTTCTGCCTCTTCCTCAACAGAGGCAGAGGCCCCTGGGGGCAGCACCTGCTGGCTCGGTGTCCGTGGCATTCACTGGGGCAGGAGCTCGACTGGGCAGGTCACGGACTGTCTCTGCTGCCACCTCTGTGCCCACGCTGCTGGCAGAGCCGGGTCCCTCCTGGGGAACAATCTGGGGGTCCCCAGCGTTCAGCGGGCGCCAGGGTTTGTCCCAGGTGCTGTAACCGACATCATCTCCCCACTGGGACAGCTTTTTCTCACTCCTGTCTTCCCTTTGGGGCGGCTCTTGGGCACTGTAGTCTTCTTCCTGAGATTGCTCCTTGTCTGCCTTGTCTCCCACTTGGGAGACCTCTGGGTCTCTCTTGTCTTTCCATTGGTACGGTCCATGCCCTTGCACATCTTCTTCCCACTGAGGCAGGTCATGGTATCTCTCACCTTCCCACTGGGACAGCTCTGGGACTGCCACATCTCCCCATTGGGACAGCTCTTGATATGTCTCTTCTTCTTCCCTTTGGGACACCTCTTGCACTGTCGCATGTTCTTCCCATCGGGTCAGCTCCTGGTATCTCACACCATCTTCTTCCCATTCGTACAGCTCCTGGCGTCTCACGGTTTCTTCCCATTGGTACAACTCTGGGTGTCTCCCATCCCCCCACTGGGAAAGTTCTCGGACCCTCCCATCTTCTTCAAATTCGTAGAGCTCTTGGTGTCTTCTGGCTCCCCGTTGGGAACGTTGTTGGACTCTCACTTCTTCTTCTCATGGGTAGAGCTCTTGGGGTGTCACGTCTTCTTCCCACGCGGTAACATCTGCGCATTGGGATAGGTCTGGATGGGTGTCGTATTTCCAGTCATCGTCCACGTTGGCAAAGGCTCCCTCCTCGGTCTGATAGAGAACTTGTGTCTTCTTCAAGCTGACGCCCAGCCCAAAAAGCTCAGCAGCCTCAGCACAGCAGGATGTTAAACGCTGCAGAGCTGCCACTGTGTGAGCCACGAGGGCGTCGGCGTCAGCGTAAAGCAGCTCCCGGACAAGATGGTTTAAGGTCTTAGAGTGGGCCTTCAGTCGCCTTAGATTGAATAGGCTTCCATGGGTACGATATGGGATGTAGATCCCACCTTCTTTGTCGAGGTCTGCCGTGGCACTTTGGAGCATCCTGCTGAAAAAGATTGTGAATAGGGTTGGTGCAAGAACACAGCCTTGTTTCGCACCATCCTAAACAATAAATAAATTATGGTTAAATAACCTTGGGAAAGGGGAATGGCTTTTATGGGCACTTCATTGCACACTGTTTCTGCCACCGCTCAGGGCCAAGAGTCCTTTCCCTGCTCCAGTGTGGGCTTCCTCCTGTGGCAGACAGTTCCCTGGGAACTTCTGCTGCAGGAGTCCTTCCACAGGAGCAGTCCTTAAGGAATCGATCCAGTGGAGGTGCCTGTGGCAATGCAGTTTCCTAGGAAATTACAAGGAAAGGAAAGACAGAACACTGCTCAAATTACTTCAGGATTTGTGTCTTTTCTGTTGAAATTTGTACGGCACGAGAAAAGAATGTACAGATGTCATTTTTTAGCTACTCCGGATAGTTATGCAGTACCACTCAGGTGCCACTTAGGGATCTGTGAGGAGGGACTGCTCAGCTCCCAACTCTCCCAGCAGGAGAGTTCCCAGTTGCGGGTGGGAGGGCAGGTGTGTGTGTTCTCTCCAAAGGCAAACTGAACCTGCCCCTTTCTGTGCTGACACCTTTGTTCTTGGAGGAATCTTTGTTTGTATGCAATTTTGGGAATCAGGCTGGCAGTTGGGAGGTAGGGCTGAAAAGTGGAAACAACAGCCCTTGTCGCCAGGAATGAAAGCCTTGAAGCTTTGGTTTGGTGGTTCAGTTTTTTCATCAACCTGGGGACTCCATGGGCAGCTGGAGCTTTCCATGCTGGCATCTTTGATGTTGGAGGAATCTTTTTTTGTATGCAGTTTTTGGAGTGGATGTGTCAGTTGGTAGGCAGGGCTGAAAACAGGAAACAACAGCCCTTATCGCCAGGAAAGAAAGACTGGAAGCTTTGGCTTTGTGGTCCAATTGGTGGGCCAGCTTGTGCACTACACGAGCAGCAAGAGCTTTCTGTGCTGGCACCTTTGTTCTGGAAGGAATCTCTGTTTTTGGAGTTGGGCTGGCAGTTAGGAGGCATGGTTGAAAACAGGAAACAACAGCCCTTTTCCCCAGGAAAGAAAGCCTGCAATCATTGGTTTTGTGGTCCAATTGGTGGGCCAGGCTGGGCAGTCCAGGAGTAGCAAGAGCTTTCTCAACTGGCACCTTTGTTCTGGGAGGAATCTTTGTTTGTAACAATTTTAGGAGTAGGGCTGGCAGTTGTGAGGCAGGGCTGAAAAGACGAAACAACAGCATTTATTCCCTGGAAAGAAAGCCTGGAAGCTTTGACTGCATGGTGCAGTTGGTTTGTCAGTCTGGGGACTCCATGCGCAGCAAGAGTTTTCTGTGTTGACACCTTTGGTGTGGGAGGAATCTTTGTTTGTATGCAGTTTTGGGATTCGGGCTGGCAGTTGGAAGGCATGGTTGAAAACAGGAAACAGCAGCCCTTATCGCCAGGAAAGAAAGCCTACAAACTTTGGCTTTATGCTGCAGTTGGTGGGTTAGGCTGGGCAATCCATGAGCAGCAAGAGCTTTCTGTGTTGGCACCTTTGGTGTGGGAGGAGTCTTTGTATGCAATTTTGAGACTCGGGCTGGCAGTTAGGATGCAAGTTAGAAAAGAGGAAACAACAGCCCTTATCCCCAGGAAAGAAAACCTGGAAGCTTTGGTTTTGTGGTGCAGTTGGTTTGTCAGCCTGGAAACTTCATGAGCAGCAAAAGCTTTCTGTGCTGGCACCTTTGTTCTGGGAGGAAGTTGTTGGGTCAGGCTGTTCAATTGTTCCTCCCAGAACAAAGGTACTGTGGGAAGTATTGCAGAAACATGGTTGATAGAAAGGGGACATGAGAGAGATGCTATAGCTCTGGTCCCACGGTAAGAGAAAACTATTAGAGGGTCACAGTGTTTGAGAAACTGGGTACGTGACAGAAGAAAAGAATATAGCGGATGGGAAAGCTGAGCAAATAGCAAACAAGTAACCATAAGAAGGTTAAAGAATCAGCATTTGCGCAAATATAACTTAGGTAATTAGAAGCCAATGATGAGCTTAGCTTTTGTAATATGTATGAAGCTAATTTGTAACCTTTATAAGCACAAAGCACGCAGCAATAAAGTTGGATAAGTTATTGATCAATTTTGTGGTCTAAAAGTGTCTTTATCCCATCGTCTACAACAAGGTACCCACACAGAAAGCTCTTGGTGCTCTGGGTGTTCTCAGCCTCGCCCAAAAACTGAACCACAAAGCCAAACCTTCCAGTCTTTCTTTCCTTTGGATAAGGGCTGTTGTTTGCTTTTTTCTGGTGTGTCTGACATCTCAGATAGTGGCAGAGCAGGTGGCACCCCACAGGGTTGAGGTGCATCCAGGCTCTGGGCGTGGCAGCAGGAGCCCCAGGAGATACTGCCCCTGCTGCCATGAACTGTCTGTGTCTGTGTGCAAGGGAAGAACTCGTGTGTCTGAAAACCCTTGTGTGACCGAGCAGT